GGTTGTAGTTGTAACAGTAGTAGTAATAGCAGCATCAGTACCAGCAGTTGTAGTTGTAACAGTAGTAGTATTAGCAGCATCAGTACCAGCAGTTGTAGTTGTAACAGTAGTAGTATTAGCAGCATCAGTACCAGCAGTTGTAGTTGTAACAGTAGTAGTATTAGCAGCATCAGTACCAGCAGTTGTAGTTGTAACAGTAGTAGTATTAGCAGCCGCAGCAGTAGTAGTAGCAGTAGTAGTATTAGCAGCAGCAGCTGTAGTAGTTGTAACAGTACTAGTATTAGCAGCAGCAGCATTAGTAGTTGTAACAGTAGTAGTATCAGCAGCAGCAGCGGTAGTAGTAACAGTAGCAGTATTAGTAGCAGCAGTTGTTGTAACAGTAGTAGTAGTAGTAACAGTAGTAGTATTAGCAGCAGTAGATGTAATAGTAGTAGTATTAGCAGTAGCAGCAGTAGTAGTTGTAACAGTAGTAGTATTAGCAGTAGCAGTAGTAGGTGTAACAGTAGTAGTATTAGCAGCAGCAGCTGTAGTAGTTGTAACAGTACTAGTATTAGCAGCAGCAGCACTAATAGTTGTAACAGTAGTAGTATCAGCAGCAGCAGCGGTAGTAGTAACAGTAGCAGTATTAGTAGCAGCAGTTGTTGTAACAGTAGTAGTAGTAGTAACAGTAGTAGTATTAGCAGCAGTAGATGTAACAGTAGTAGTATTAGCAGTAGCAGCAGTAGTAGTTGTATCAGTAGTAGTATTAGCAGTAGCAGTAGTAGGTGTAATAGTAGTAGTATTAGCAGCGGCAGCAGTAGTAGAAACAGTAGTAGTATTAGCAGCAACAGTAGTTGTAACAGTAGTAGTATTAGCAACAGCATCAGCAGTTGTTGTAACAGTAGTAGTATTAGCAGCAGCAGCAGTAGCAGTAGTAGCTGTATCAGCTGTAGTATTAGCAGCAGCAGCAGTAATAGTTGTAACAGTAGTAGTGATAGCAGCAGCACCAGTAGTAGGAGTTGTAACAGTAGTAGTATTAGCAGCAGCAGCAGTAGTTGTAACAGTAGTAATATTAGCAGCAGCAGTAGTAGTTGTAACAGTAGTGGTATTAGTAGCATCAGCAGTAAAAGTTGTCACACTAGTAGCAGCAGTAGTAGTAGTTGTAACAGTAGTAGTGTTAGCAGCAGCAGCAGCAGTAGTAGGAGTTGTAACAGTAGTAGTATTAGCAGCAGCAGCAGTAGTTGTTGTCACAGTAGTAGTATTAGCAGCCGCAGTAATAGTTGTAACAGTAGTAGTGTTAGCAGTAGTAGCAGCAACAGTTGTAACAGTTGTAGTATTAGCAGCAGCAGCAGTAGTAGTTGTAACAGTACTTGTATTAGCAGCGGCAGCAGTAGTAGTTGTAACAGTAATAGTATCAGCAGCAGCAGCGGTAGTAGTAACAGTAGCAGTATTAGCAGCAGCAGTTGTTGTAACAGTAGTATAATTAGCAGCAGCAGTAAATGTAACAGTAGTAGTATTAGCAGCAGTAGTAGTTGTAACAGTAGTAGTATTAGCAGCAGCAGTAGATGTAACAGTAGTAGTATTAGCAGCAGCAGTAGATGTAACAGTGGTAAGATTAGCAGCAGTAATAGTTGTAACAGTAGTAGTATTAGCAGTAGCAGTAGATGTAACAGTAGTAGTATTAGCAGCAACAGCAGTAGTAGTATTAGTAGTTGTAACAGTAGTAGTATTAGCAGTAGCAGTAGTAGGTGTAACAGTAGTAGTAGTAGCAGCAGCAGTAGTAGTAGTTGAAAAAGTAGTATTATTATCAGCAGCTGCAGCAGTAGTAACAGTAGTAATATTAGCAGTCGTAGTAGTTGAAACAGTAGAAGTATTAGCAGCAGCAGAAGTTGTAACAGTAGTAGTATTAGCAGCAGCAGCAGTAGTAACAGTAGTTGTATTAGCAGTAGTAGTTGAAACAGTAATAGTATTAGCAGCAGCAGTAGTTGTAACAGTAGTAGTATTAGCAGCAGCAGTAGATGTAACAGTAGTAGTATTAGCAGCAGCAGCAGTAGTAGTAGTTGAAACAGTAGTAGTATTAGCAGCAGTAACATAATTCATAACATATAATCATAATTCAGTGTTGAATAGGAGTCGTCGCGATGCAGCGGCTAGGCTCCCGCCTTCGGATACGAAGGTCGTGGGTTCAAGTCAGAATGGAGCCGGAGTGTTCTTTCAGAAATGACCTTAGTTGCCAGGTCGACCAAGCCTTAAATGGGTACCGGATAAAGCCCTGGGAAATAAAGGCAGCCGGTTGGAAGTTGACCACATCATACACCAGGTACCAATTAATTTTTGCCAGGGATGCCGCGGCAGTAATCAAGAAAAGTCGCCTAAACACTGTGAAATTATTAAAGAAGGCATGCAGACACATAAGAGTGAAAATGTAAGTTGTCTGGCCTCGCCTCTGTCGAAAAGAGTTCATTGTTTGTTTTACATTCAGCCGTGTTTCAAACTGCATAAAATACCAACCGTTAGGCTAAGAATTGTCCTTGTATTTATCTCGAGGTGCCACCGATCCTCTACCTGAATTCGTTAAGGTGCAGTCTCTAAGTAAAGTTATGGCTACATTGTCTCAGCAGACACCTACGAGCCTAAGCCATCTAAGTTGGTCTGCCTCAGTTTGTGGAAAGGTAACTCACTAACCAAAAGAAATTACCAGGAAAACTATGAAAGTATTATCTTAGCTGTGGTTCTTTGTTCTGCTTTGTTTCAGTTGGGAACGAACAGGCACAGGAAGGGCAATGCGTTAACTACCATTGAAGAGTTGCTAACAGCTGCTTGGTTCTGTCTAAATTACAGGCGTCTGGAAAGCAATTATTCTGATTTAGTACAGAAAGGATAAGACATCTTCAAACACCTCGCTGAGTCTCTTCAGGTAGGATCATCCATGATGGAGAGAGTTTTAAAAAATGAAAAGAATATAATGCAAAATGCATCCAGTTTCATTCATAGCATTAAAGACTACTGAACTTTAAATTTGCACTGTTGTTTCTTCTTTCCCTAAGTATTCAATAGCATTAAGGCTAAGTGTGCCTTAAATTTTTTTTTAGCCCGAAAAGGGTGGCGCGGCTAAAAATGTTTGAGAAACGCTGCACAAAAAAACCCCTATATCGTCTGTAGTGTATGTGCTGCAGACGAGAATGAGTCCTCGTGGTGTCACGTGCTCAGTTCAGCAGGGATTTCTCCTTGCCTGGGGTGATTCAATAAATTTAAGTTAAATTATACAGGCTTGTTACTTTCTTCCTCATAAGTCGTTCCCTCGTGGGATGCAGTATTTGTTATTTTGAAGCGCCACCCTGGTTTTTGCCGAGGGCCATGAATATAGCCGAGCCATAAATATGGCCTAGCCATAGATATGACCTAAACGGCTGAAAGGGGTTTCTGTGACCTCTCCACGGGCGTCCTCCTCTGCATGGTGGCACTTTGTGTCACCGGGTGTTTGTCACTTGTGTGGTGTCTTGGTGGACTACAGCTAACTACCTACCTACAGACTTGCAGACAAAGATATACACACAGGCAGACGGATGGACAGACGGATACTCAAGCAGATAGACAGACAAACAGATAGGCATGTTGGCTGACTGACAGACAGGCAGACAGATAGCAAATACTAAGAGAAGTAAAGGCGACCTAGTGATTTGGACCAGAGGTCTATGAAAATGTGTTCAGCCATATTTACGTAAAAAGGGTTCGATACTTTATGTGCTACTGTAAACAAGGATGTGCATAATTGTAGAAACTTGTCTTAGTCTGTGACACATGTCTTAGTCTGTGACACTAGTCCTAGTCTGTGACATATGTCTTAGTCTGTGACACTTGTCCTAGTTTGTGACATTTGTCTTAGTTTGTGACACTTGTTCTAATCTGTGACATGTGTCTTAGTCTGGGACACTTATCCTAGTCTGTAACTTCTGTCTTAGTCTGTGACACATGTCTCAGTGTGTGACACGTGTCCTAGTCTTTGACATCTGTCTTAGTCTATGACACATGCCTTAGTCTGTGATACTTGTTCTAATCTGTGAAACTTCTCCTAGTCTGTGACACCTGCCTAAGTCTGTGATACCTGTCCTAGTCTGTGTCAGTTGCCCTAGTCTGTGTCAGTGACAATTCTCTTAGTCTGTGACATTTGTCCAGTCTGTGATACCTGTCCTAGTCTGTGATACCTGTCCTAGTCTGTGTCAGTGACACATCTCCTAGTCTGTGCCATTTGTCCAGACTGCGACACTCACATCAAAATCGTAATCCAAGGAGTCAGTTTTCGGCCACTCGTGTGTGTCCTCATAGGCAAATCTTTTACCACGAATTGTATTGTTCTGTACATCCTTATCGATTAGGTCACCGTGATCTAGTCTCCCTGTCATAGACTCTGGAAGCTTTCTGGTTGTGTTCACATTCAATACCACAGCTTCGTCTGACTCACTGGCTCCGTGTAGCTTCTGTTTGAAGAGAATACAACTGGTTACTAATTGAAATAACCAATAAAATAGCTGGAAACCATGCACTTTTCCCCTGTAGCAACATACGGATGTGAGTCGTGGACTATTTCATAGTGCTTAGGAAAGAAAATATAGTATTTTGAGCTGAAATGATATGAAAAGATTCTAAGAATATTTAATAAAAGAGAATTACTGAAATTGTAAAAGATCTGAACATCAAGGAAGATTGGCTAATAAACAGCATCCTGTCTCGGAAGCTGAAATATTTGTATCATGTCAAGCGCCATGGCTGACTGGTAAAAAAATAATTGCAGAAGGCATGGTACCAGGAAGGAAGGGCAGGGGCCGACTAACACGAAGATGGGCACAAGAAATAAGTGACTCCTTGAAAATTAAAGTGCACGAGGCGGGAGAGCTAGCGAGAGACCGAGTTTCTTTTAGGCAGACCGTGATAAGAGCAACGTTCTGCAAAGGACCTGCTACATGATGATGATATAATAGCGCATCTGAAATACCCAAAGAGGTGCCGCCTCCTTTAGCACACTGATGGTCGTCATCATCAAGTGCCTTGCCAGCTTGTGCAGGCGTTCATGCCTCCATAGACTGATGATCCTCTATGTCACTGTCTTAAGCCATCCACCACCATTTCTCTTGGTCTGCCTCTGCCTCTTCTACCAGTGAACACGGATGGTACACACGTCTTACTCTTCCTCTCATGCATATCTTTTCTTGTCAGGTCCACGCTTGATTTAAAATCGTGCAACCTTAAAATTTTGAGTGTTAAATTGAGAATCCACACCCTAACCCTGTCCCTACGCCTAACCCACACCCTAACCCTACCCCTAACCCAAATTGTAACCGTATGATTATAGCAGGGCAGTGCACGCTGTCTGTCGCCAACACACAGTAATTATGTCATTTGTTTCGTTCCCTCCTTTCCACTCCGTAATTGCACTGTAGCCAGGGGACAGAACTGCGACTAACCGGCCGTCTACTGTTGTCTACCGGCCGTAGTTGACAGGAGAGCCGAATTATTATGTGGGGTAGAAAGGGGTCGGGCAAAGACATGTGTTTAAAATTAAGACTATTTATATATATATATATAGTCAGTTACAATCACCCAATCTTACAATTGTTGTTTCATGTAAAATCTATCCCCCATCAGCGTTCGTTCGTAAATGACCTTATAAATGCCTGTCTTATTCAGTATGAGAGTTCCCGTCGTTGTCGTTCTCATATGAATGGAAAACATCAAATCAGAGGATTGTTTCGTGGTTTTCCCAAGTTCCCTTTTCGAAAAACCCTGGAGCATGCGCTTCTGTTAAAGTGTTTTAATTTATTCTTCTTTTCTAAATATTACTCTTTCATTGAACGATTGGTTCACTTCCATGAACTGATGGGGTATTTTCTGACGCTGGGGCCGTCTCAGCCCTATAAATTTAGATATTAGTTTATGGGAATTGTCTGGAAAGGGAATCTTTCGCCCTTACTTAAAAAGTTTGATTGTACAGTGGGTTGGTTGTTCAGCTGGTTGGTTGAACAGCTGGTCAGTTGTTCAGCAGGTCAGTTGTTCAGCTGGTTAGTTAAACAGCTGGTCAGTTGTTCAGCTGATTAGTTAAACAACTGGTCAGTTGTTCAGCAGGTCAGTTGTTCAGCTGGTTAGTTAATCAGCTGGTTGCTTGGGTGATTGAGTGTTTAACTGACTGACCAATCGCATGCTAGTATGTTTAGTTAGTAAAGGCATACTGCTTCCCATTCCAATGGCATTGTCTGCTATTGGAACAAGGTCAGCTGTCTCAGATTAGAACTTTTGCGAAAGATGTGTTAACTAGTTTTGGGCTGCACCTCGTACTCAAACGTCTTATGCCTCGCTCTGTACACCAATGCGGTTGTGGATCACCGGGTTACTGTTGACTGTTTAATCAAGTATCTCCATTCTGGCGATTACATGCGCTGGACTTGATCTTTTCTCATCTGAGGCCAGCCCAGGCAACAATATTTAGGTTTCGGTTCTTTCTTGTCCTGTCTCGTCTCCTCTTGTGAGCCCATTAGTCAGTAATAGTTATTTACACACACACACACACACACACACACACACACACACACACACAGAGAGAGAGAGACAGAGAGACAGAGAGACAGAGAGAAAGAGACGCCTATTATGACACGTCACATATGTTTTAACATCTATTATAACATACAGCACTGTTTATTGGCGGGTGTCTTGCTGTCTCAGTTTCTGCATTTTAGAAACAGACAGTAAAGTAACATACAACTTTTACTGAAACGTTGAACCAAAGCTGACTTACCCTAGTTCGGCTGCATTACCCAGGCTGCATTACCCAGGCTGCATTACCCAGGCTGCATTACCCAGGCTGCATTACCCAGGCTGCATTACCCTGGCTGCATTACCCAGGCTGCATTACCCAGGCTGCATTACCCAGGCTGCATTAGCCAGGCTGCATTACCCAAAAATTTAACCAACCACAAAGAAGAGTTGCGGTTATTTAAAATGTGCATCCGACAGCGCTGTTTCCAGGCTACAAACGGGAAACACCAAGAAGAGAAAAGACACGCACAAGTAACAACAGCATGAATTACGAGCGGTCTGAACCGGATGGAAGCATCAAGTCAAGAAATGGCGCAAATACTAGAATTAAGTCACGACAGTGACGCAAATAACCCAGACCACAAATATAGGCGGAGACTGTTAGCAGCCTCGGCTAGCTAGCAGCAGTCTGAAAGTGGTCGACATTTACATTTTTTTCTCAAAAGGACTAGGACTAGTTTCCAGGATTTTTCCTCAGTTCGACAGAAGGATGTCATAATTCTATTTTGTGTATACACGAAACTACTATATGTATATCTTAAAGCTAAAACTGACCGCAGTCTCCAATAACATTAAATATATGAGAGATTGTGGGCGAACAAAAAAGAGAAAGACATCTGGGTAACTAAGGAAGAAAAAAAAGGCACAGTGCCCCCTATATGCATTTGACATATGTTGCTAGACGCAATTTAAAAGACTAATTTGCATACGATAGGTAATTTGGTCGAAGTCATGAGGTTTACCTTTATTTCTCAAAAAATTTTCCTCCCCCCCCCCCCCCTCATTCGCGTGCTAGATTTGGCTGGAAGACTAGGCATTACCCTCAATAATTATGAAAAGACATCAAACCATACTAAAAGTAGAACCAGTCAGCTTCACATTATCACAAACGGCTGCTTGGGAGCCTTCGTCGGTACATTAGATGAATATACAGTACTAACAAAAAACGAACAGGAATCCACAAAATCACTTAGCTGAAGTGTCTCCGAGATCAATCTACATGTTGAATAGCTGACACTCGTGTGGCCACCGGATATAGAACTAGCCAGAAAAAAAAAAAATTATTTGGCAGAGTGCAAATTCAAACCCATAATCTTTTGGTCGTGATACTTACAGCTTTTAACTGGTCACTGTAGAGTACAGCTACGGTAGCCGTTATCTGTCTCACGTCTGTACTCTGTACTGAAAATAAAACAGTACTACGTGATAACGTGCTTTTTTTTTTTTTTAAACCAATGGTTTTTTTTAAACATTTTTCTGGTGGCGCCCCTGTTGAATATATGGCAAGACTCCCACCAAATTAATCTATAATTAAATACGCGTATTATCCTATTAATTTTTTTTCAAAAGCACAATTGCCTATGAAAACAAACACCTTCTTGGCTTCTTTTTATTTATTTTTTTATTTTATAAATAGAAACTCTCTTGCCCCCTCTTCCCCCTCCCCCCATATTTTCCAGGTTGAAAAAAACCCTTATAGGCGATCGATTTATGGATGATGTGGCCGTAAAGTAAACTAAAGGACACTGCGCCTTTAGAGGTCTGGGCATATAGGGCTCGACCTATATTTTATAGACCAATAGACATTCGGTGGTTTATGTGGTCAACAACACGCCGTCCGCCTGCTCTTCCCATGATTTTACCTAGTGCCCATTTAAGGCTGGGTCGACCTCGGATCAAAGTGAGATTTTGAAAAAAAAAAACTGTTTCGCTAGGATCTGAACCCACGATCTTCGGGTCCATATGTGAGCGTCTACATGTACACCTGGCGGCTCCTGATAGTCGCCTTTACTTCTCCCAAAATTTTTCGGGTGTCTATTTTAGGCGTGGAAGGCCAGGTCAATTTTACAAACATCCTTCTTGATGTCGTTTCAGACACTCCCCGCCTGCCCGGCCGACATGCGGTTAGGCCTTTTTTTTAGATCTTTCTAGCTGCAGCTCTCCGGTGCTAGAGAACAAAATGTATACACATTTCGTAATTGTAGCAGACTATGAAAGCATGCTGAAAAAGGTGAGGACAGGGATGCTTCGAGCAGAGTGGCTAGCTTCACTGGAAAGGTCACGGATGGTGAGCATACTTTGGATCTTTTCTCCAGGTTATGTCGGCGTGGTAGGTAATGAGCATGCAGCCAGATTAGCTGGATCCGCAACACTGGGTGGTGAATTGATAAATGATAAGGCAGATGTGGTCAAGGCCCTTTGGGAACAAGCAACGGAATGAGTAGAAAAAGAAGATTATTATGGCCTGGAGAGAATGAGGCATCTGGGTGTAACCAGAGGTCCTGGCCGGCTCACTACACTCAGAGGAAAGGCAAGACGGACTTTTAACCAGATTGTGACCGTTACCATCAGTATTAGAACTCTGCGCTGGCTGCTGAAGATGAGGATGGAGCACGCATGGGAATGCCCCGAGTACTGTGATGTCAGTTCTTGAATCAACTTAACTCAGATCATGTCTCTTTCCACTAGTAACTAATGGGTATGAATCACAACACTTACTCAACCTTTATTAAAGAAAAAATAATCAGAGCTTTTGAACTGAAACGCCAAAGAAAGATGTTTAGATTACCATCGACTAAGAAGAAAAAAAAAAACACTGACGCCCTGCATGATCTGAAGATCAAAGAGAATTGGCTCATAAACAGCATCCTGTCCCGAAAGCTGGGGTATTTAGGCCACGTTAAACGTCTTTGTGGCCTGGCGATAACGATGCTGGAGCGTTTTAGTTTCTGGAAATCGAGGCAGAGGAGGACCTCCACGAACGTGCATACATGACATTCAAGATAATTTGGCTATAAAAGCACATGAAGCGGAGAACTGGTAAAGAACTAGAGACTTTCACGCGTGTCGTAACGACAGTGACATTCTGTAATGGATCTGCTAAGAAAGTGGTGAGTGAAAAGTAAGAATTTTATGTAAAAGAAAAAGTAATGATCCATTTTCACGCCTTATGCGCATCGGGCATACGGGAAGAGCGTCCCATGTTTTTACTGATTAATCGGCGCTGGGTGGGTAATGTGGTCAGCATTACGCCGGCCGTCTTTACTTCCCCAGGACACACATCCTGGTACCCATTTAAGGCTGGGTCGACCAGCGACGCCCCATACCATGATACAAATCCACAAGATAAGAATATAGTAGAATATTTTTACTATACACACTTAAATGGCAGAATATATAATTATGAAACCGGGTTTACAGATTGAAAATTAAAAAGTAAAGAGCTCTTTCCTAAATCTAGAAACGTGTTTAGTATACGATGCATCAATTATTTTTAAAGCACAATCCACATGTTTGTTTGTTTCGCACCCTGTTTTCCCAGATATCCTGATTATCATTTCAGACTGGGTTAACTTGATCAAAGAAGATTTAAAAGAAATATTATCTATGGTTTTGAACAAATTACCAATATCATACTCGAAGAACGAGGTCGGAAGGAATAAAAAGCAAACACTGAACTCAACCGTGCTTAAGGATCAGTTCTTGTAACGGCAGCAGCAGCAGGGTCAACGCCATTTAGTCAAATCTCTGCAGCAAAACTCTGACTTCGAAGAAACCTAGACACAAACAAACAAGTAGAACACATTTAGAGTCAGTCTTGCAGAAACAAAACATATGGACACACTGTATTGACACACTTTGAATACAGGAACAAACCGCAAAGATCTAGCCCTAATATATGTACAAACTGAAATTGCACATACGTAACATGTGTACGTACCAAATAGTAGGGCAAAGAAGAGCTAGCCTGGAAAACTCAGCGCAGAATTGGGTTGACGGCATCAAGAAGTCTCGCCACGAAAACTATCTTGCCAGGGTGAAAGAAACTGAAAGAGTCGCGAGATTGGCCGTGTCTGCAATAGTTTGTGGACGAAGACGCCAAGACCAGGCAGACATGCTGAATGCGCTATGTTCCATTGACGTTGAGACAAAGGAGTCAGAGAGGCGATAGATAAACAGTCTTTTACAAATTGGTATTAAACGAGGACAAGCGTGCGAAAACTGGTTGAGTGGTAAAGAGAACAAAAATGTAAGCCAAGCGATTCCTACTGGATACAGAGAACATGGAGACACTGAAATAGCTGCTTCAATTGCGGAAGGAAAGAGAGTGGGCTGGGCCGATATGCTATAGTCCGTTCCATAAATCATGCCCAGCTTAAAATCTGTAACTTTTATTCTTGTTCACCGGCGGGAAGTCCTTGTTGTTCGTCTATTTATATCAAGCAGAACACAATGTGTGGGTCTGAGAAGGAGAATCAACGTCTTACTTTGATTGTAAATGTATTAAAAGAATTAACTGAAGAGCATTTTCAATTACTAATTAAGTGTGCTATTTAAAAATACAGTACCAATGTGGCCATTAGGCTTGTCTCATCAATCTACACAATACAACTATATGGTTCTTATGTTTCGCGTGATTATTTAAAACAACATGGAATAATGACTTCATAAACAAATACCTGCCCTTTTGTATCACTAATGTTTGAGGATGGTGAGAAAGGTGAGGACATGCATGCTTTCTGCAGAGTGGCATAGTTTGCTTCCGAAATCAGGGATGAAAAGCATTATCTGGATCTTTTCTTCAGATTATGTCGGTGCGCTGGGAAATGAGGAGGGCGAACTAGCTTGCTCTGCACAGCTTGGAATATTAGTGCATAATAAGACAGACGTGGTTAAGGCCACGTGGGTGAAATTCAGATGAGCAGATGGATCACCACAGTTTAGTGAGAGTGATGCCACGAGGAGCAGATGGATGACCACAGTCTGGCAAGAGTGATGCCGCGAGGAGCCGATGGATCACCACAGTCTAGTGAGAGTGATGCCACGACGAGCAGATGGATCACCACAGTCTGGCAAGAGTGATGCCACGACGAGCAGATAGATCACCACAGTCTGGCAAGAGTGGTGCCGCGAGGAGCCGATAGATCACCACAGTCTGGTGAGAGTGATACCGCGAGGAGCAGATGGATGACCACAGTTTAGTGAGAGTGATACCGCGAGGAGCAGATGGATGACCACAGTTTAGTGAGAGTGATACCGCGAGGAGCAGATGGATGACCACAGTCTGGCAAGAGTGATACCGCGAGGAGCAGATGGATGACCACAGTTTAGTGAGAATGATGCCGCGAGGAACAGATGGATCACCACAGTCTGGCAAGAGTGATACCGCGAGGAGCAGATGGATGACCACAGTTTAGTGAGAGTGATGCCGCGAGGAGCAGATGGATCACCACAGTCTGGCAAGAGTGATACCGCGAGGAGCAGATGGATGACCACAGTTTAGTGAGAGTGATGCCGCGAGGAGCAGATGGATCACCACAGTCTGGCAAGAGCGATGCCGCGAGGAAAAGATGGATCACCACAGTCTGGTGAGAGTGATACCGCGAGGAGCAGATGGATCACCACAGTCTGGCAAGAGTGATGCCGCGAGGAGCAGATGGATCACCACAGTCTGGCAAGAGTGATACCGCGAGGAGCAGATGGATCACCACAGTCTGGCAAGAGTGATGCCGCGAGGAGCAGATGGATCACCACAGTCTGGTGAGAGTGATACCGCGAGGAGCAGATGGATCACCACAGTCTAGCGAGAGTGATGCCGCGAGGAGGATGATCACCACAATCTGGCGAGAGTGATGCCGCGAGGGACAATGAGTCTATCTGACAGATACTCGACGCTCAAAAAAAAAAAAAAGCAAGACGTACATATATTCAGACTGCTACTGGCACCATTAGTATTAAAACTCTGCGCGGCTGCTGAACATGGGGATGGAGAGCTTATGGGATGCCCCAAGTGCTCTGATTGGTAATTCTTGAATCGACTCAACTGAATAAGGTCTACCAATTAATTGTTAAAATAATGGTGTGACAAACAGGGTTCCATTCACTCACAGCCAAAATAATTATCATGGTTCCAATAGTTTTGTTTGTTTGTTTTGTTAACTCAATGTCACATTATTTTCTTCTAATTATGTTAGTGAGCAGACACCTTCCAAATTAATGTGATCATAAAACAGCCTTTTTTTCAAAAACGAACAGGTTTGAGGTTTGAACAACGGATCAACATCATAGCACACGGGTGTAAACCATAAGTGCGCCGTTATTCTTCTAACTCAAGTCTGAGTCCGAAGAAGCTCAGCTCAGTGCACAGGCTATGTAGCACCGGTGAGAATCCAGAAATACTT